TGGCCAGGCCCTGTCGGCACGGCGGAGCCCGAGTGGGTCTCCTCACGCAGGCGGGTGACTGCAGCTCCAGAGAGGAGGGAGCAAGTCTTTTCTGAACATCATTTACATATTTATTTATTTTCTTTCTGCGGTAACTCAGTCTTGCAGCAACACACAGGCTGGCCTCAGGCTGTGAGGGGTAGGCTGGCAACAGAGCTGAAATCAAGCACAGGAATCAAAAATAGCACATACCTGCCTGCGAAATGCAGCAGGATCAAGTTACAGGCGCTGGCAGTTGTCCAAAGAATGCTGTTACAGAAGTGCTGCGGCACAGCTGGGATGATAATGAAAAATAGCAGCCCAGAATAATGAAGTGAGTTTAAAAAAATTGACCTTGTTTCTGTGAAAGGAGAATAGAAAAGTGGGAAACCAGAGCTACTGCAAAATGCTGCGTGGGGGAAAAAATGTCCAAACATGTACCAGTACTGAATCAAAAACTTTGCTGTCTGTGGTGGAAGCAAGGGGAATACTCTAGGGAACCCTTTTGTCACCTCAGCAGGTTTTGGCATCAGGCCCGTAGCAGTACAGGGCTGGAAATCAGCTAGATTTTTGAACAGGCATCACATTTCTAAAGGCATATGGTACTTTCTTATTATGCTTTTACAGCCTAATGCTGTAACTTTGGTTGAGTTACAATTATTTGTTTCTATCCTGCCTTACTAAGCAAAAGTAAGAAAGACTTTGCTTGCTGTATGGTTGGTTTCAGCTCCCTCCAGATGTATAGCAACAGTAAACATTGATTTCCTGTAAACTGCCATCTATATTCTTCTGCTGTTCAGGAGAAAGTGCTAACAGTCTGCTTTTCCCCAGAAATAGCCAGTGGTTGTAGCATAGCCTTTTCCTTCTCGCTAGAGATTCTCAAAAAATTGCAAAACTGATCAGAAATCCACTTGTTGGAACTTTTTTCCCCCTGTCTTTTCCACAGTTACTAAAGACATGCTTTTCTTTTTTAGGCTTAAATACAAAGTGAATAAGAATGTCAATAGTCACAGTCCAGCTTGGTCAGTGTGGTAATCAGATTGGTCATGAGGTGTTTAATGCTATCTGCAGTGACATCCATGGCACACATGGGTTGTGTTCCAAGAAGGAGAATGAATCCTACCATGATGCTTGCAAAGAACGTTTTTTCTGCGAGGAGGAATCTGAAGGTACAGCATTTAAGGGTTTGTTTCCCACAGAGGGTCTGGTTTCCAGCCTAATACAGATAAGAGTACAGAAATAATAAAAGTCTTTTACCTGCAGTTGAAGAATGAGTTTTACCTTCGGTCTTAAAGAATTATCACAACCCTCTGCCTTCACGACGCTGCTAACAACCATAGAAGCACAATCAGTGCGGTAAAGTGTCCAAGACCACAGAGCAAGTCTGCCAGTAACACAGTTGGAAACTGAGCGTATATGCATACATAATCTTTCCTTCCAAGCAGCTGCATTTTCTACTGTAGATGGATCATACCATGGAGTAGGACCCAGAATATCTGAATTTGGTGTTATCAAATGCGTTAAGTGTTTTTTTTCCTGAAAGATCTATGGTGTCTAGAGTTCAGATTTGTCTTTGGAACAGTAGACGGTTCACCAGAAATCCAGGGCATTGCCAAGTCCTCCTTTCTGTACGTGCCTGTACTGTCCCATTAACAGTTCAGCTTACGTGGGTGGGAGGAATACCATTTGGGCCGTGGTGCAAGTCCATCCATCTTACGTAAACGAGTTCTAATATTGGCACATTATTCTTAGTTTTGTTTTTCTTCCTATCCAGTACCTGTTGCCCGGGCTGTGCTTGTTGACATGGAACCTAAAGTAATCAGCCAAACCTTATCGCTGGCTGCCAGGTCTGGCTACTGGAAATACAATGACCGGTCACACTTCTGTCAGAAGCAAGGGTCTGGGAACAACTGGGCAAATGGGTATGAACAGTTGTTTCAAGCTTCACTAAGGGAACTGTGAAGGCTAATGAGCTGTCTGGACTCTCTAGGAGTGGTACTATTGCAGCTGTGTGAGGTACAGACTATGTAACATTAGCTTGATTTATTTTTAAGTTAAAGTAGCAACACATATAGCAGTGAAATTTCCAAACTGCTTTTTCCAAGGTGAAATTGGTGTTTACAGTGAAAATGTAACATTTTAGAATTGAGTGAATATATTTGATTTAAGCATAGGAAACAATAAGGACAGTTTATAAACAGCTGTTTTGCAAAATAATCATAGAATGGTGTGGTTGGAAGGCACCTTAAAGATCACCTAGTTCCAACCCCCTAGACCAGGTTGCTCAAAGCCCAGTCCAGCCTGGCCTTGAACACTTGTGGACGGGGCATCCACAACTTCTCTGGGCAACAAATGTCACAGCTGAGGATTGTTTAGTGCACATAGAATGGATGACATAATGCGAGGTTACATAAATAATAGTAAGAAAAGTATGCTTTATGAATAGCTTCACCTTTCTGCTTTTATTTTGATATAACCTGCCATGTCTCGCTGTTTTGTCTGTTATTCAATAGTTATTCTGTTCACGGGCCTAGACACAAAGAAGTAATAATGAATCTGGTGCAAAAAGAAGCAGAGAAATGTGATCGACTCGGTGGATTTTTCACAATAATGAGCATGGCTGGTGGTACAGGATCTGGCTTGGGAGCATTTGTGACCCAGTGTTTAAGAGATGCTTTTCCAACCTCATTTATACTGAACCATGTTATCTGGCCCTACAGCACTGGTGAGGTGAATGTCATATTTCCCAGAGATGCTCTACAAGTTTATCATCTCTGTTTACTTTTAAACATAAAATATATGCAACTGAAATAAATTAGAAAAGAGGTGCATTTTACTTTTTAAAAGTTCAACATGACAGAAAGTAACACAGCTAATTAATTGTTCACCTAAAACTTAGTACATGTTGTTTCTTGATAATATAAGTGCTAAAGTATAATGCAGTTTCATGAGAAGCTCCATTAGCTAGCGAGCAATCTCCTGTTACGATAGTATCTCAGCATTATAATCAGTTCCCAGACAGATTTTATTCTAGCATGTTTGTATGAAGTGAGATCGATAACATGATTTTCACAGGTCTTGATCTCTTTCCATGAAAAAGCTCTGCTAGCTCCTGACCTCATTCTGCACTTTGGCAAAGAAAATGAATCACTTCCTAAATCATAAGTGAGGAAATGACAGTAGCCAGAGGATGATAAACTGGAAAGAGATTAAGTTGTTTGACTCTCATTTTGTGTGTGTTTTTTTTTTTGTTTCTTTGTTTCCAGGTCATTGTTCAAAACTACAACTCTGTTTTGACTCTGTCACATCTGTACCAGTCATCAGATGCCCTTCTTGTTCATGAAAATGATGTCATCCACAAGATCTGTGCTCAGCTGATGAATATTAAACAAATCTCCTTCAGGGATGTAAATCAAGTCATTGCACATCAACTGGGGAGTGTTTTCCAGCCCACTTACACAGCAGAAGGTGGCTTACACTATAGCAGAAACCTATTAGGTATCTAACTATAATATAGCTGCCTAATGCATTGTCATACATCTTTCTGTAATCATTCCATGTTGTGAAAATAAGTTCTTCAGTCTCCTTACTCAAGTGTGAGGATATATCTCAAGTCTTAAGACAGGAAAACTGAAGCAAAAGACTAAAATAGAAGTTCAATCCCAATTTTGTAGCAGAGTCAAAAATAGATCCCCCAGCTTCTGGTTTCATTCTTTACCAAAAGAACCCTGTTTCTCCTTTTTCAAGTGACTACCAACACCCTTGTACCTAGTTACACTTCAGAGGAAATTTGTGCAGGAGAGTGATTTTGGACTGAGTTTTACATTTTATGTTAGGTTAGAAGTTTGTATACACAGAAACAAAATGAAAGTTTTGTGTTTCGCTCAGGCAGAAGACAGACTAGCATACCACCTGGTTGCAACAAGCAACAGGCTGATGTTTCTATTTTTAAGGGATTAGAGAAAGTTACCCATATTGCCAAGAGTTTTCCTTGTAAAATTAAACTTTGACATCTGTCTGTCAATCTGTTTAGCAGTGCATAGGGTCTTTGAGATTTTGAGCCAGACTATAAAGTGAGACAAGTCTAAATTGTAAAATAAGAGCTACTAACGGGCTTGTATAGAACTCAGTAGTACAGAGCAAGTTTGCATTACTTGATATGTGTCCATATATTTGTCAAATTAAAACTTTATATATCCTGCTTTGTTTCTTACCTTAAATTGCTAGGTCTTTGTAAAATTCCTTACTGTCTTCTCCTATTTTAGCTAGCCTATGCAATATTTTTGTCAAGCATGAGCAGCTGTTAATTTCTTCTTTCAGGAGAGTTAATGGAGACGTTAGTTCCACATCCTGAATTCAAGATGTTGGGTCTTCGTAACATACCTCAGATGCCTGAAAACTCCCTCGCTTATAGCACATTCAGTTGGCCTGGACTCATCAAACATTTAAGGCAGATGCTCATTGCTAATGCTAAAATGGAGGAAGGTAAAAAGCATTCATTCATCTTCAGTATCCATCGCTCTTTAAGCATTTCTTTTTAGGGATGAAATAAAGCTTATTGTTTTGTGGAGCTCACTGACTAGCTTTGGTCAGTTCAGAAAGGAGTTGCTGCCCTCAGACAAAAAACTACATAGCCAGCTGCTCCTTTAACTATTCACTCAGCTGCCACAGCCGCTCCCAGCTTGCTCCTGGTTTTGCTCCCAGACATCTCAGTTAATTATAACTATTGAAAATACGCAAACCAAACCAACAGTTTTTGGCCGTGCACTAATTTATGTAATTCCTTTGGAAGATTCCTTGGATAGTTAGTTCTGCTATGCTTTTTCTTTTTACACCTTCTACTGATAAAAATCATGCTTAGCTCTCCTATATCATTTACATGGGGAATTCGGTATCGCTTCCAGTTATGCAAAGAATGGGCTGGCAGATTGCTAAGTATAGAAACAAGTATCCATTTTCTCTGGTAAGACTAATGACTACCAGGCAAATACCGCTGGATTAGCAAGTTTTTCTCTGAGAATTGTGTAATTGCTGCTTAACTAACGTCCAGAAGCTACAAACTCTTAATATGATCTCAGCTTGGGGCACAGTGTTAGTTACCATCTGACTCTTCAGCTAGCCTGAATCCACGTTTCTTGAAACGTTAACGGTCTTTTATATATATATTTTTTTTTTTTGCCAAAATCTCATAGGTATTGACTGGCAAGTACGACCGCCGGGTCCAGTCTCTTCCATCCCCTCCAGTCATTCCACAAAGAAGCCGCTGCATTTCAATACTTCCATTGCCAACCTGGTTATCCTGCGAGGAAAAGATATGCACAGTGTAGACTTAGGTAAGAAGGAAAAACACAGTACCTCAGTGATTCTTGTTTCACATCTCACTGTTTTCTTTGCAACTGTATCTGATGAAAATGAAAAAAACGCAAGGCCACATATTTGTCTGCTAAGGTCAATATTTCCTCTAGAAACATTTTATTGTCCAAGGCCACATCTAATTGCTTAGGGCTGTGGTATTTCCAGCCAACTTCTGCGTTTCCTGGAGCACTTCAGGGAAGAAGGAAGAGACTGAAGTCCGTATATATGATAGGATTCTTGGCTATATTGTCTGAAAATATATTTAGCTGCTTCCAGAGAGAGGAGCATAGCTTGCAGATGAAGTACCGATACAAGAGTATGCTTTTAATTAATCTAATGAATCTGTTTAAAACAGTTATATTTTCAACAAGCTGACCACTCTGCAGATGTTTTTTCAAGGCCTGAATTGATCTGCGAAGCATTGATTAGGTCACACAGGACTACTGAGATCAAGATGTAGGAGCTTGTAGCTTTACATTTGTCAAAAGGGCTGTCATTTCTTCTACAGAAAGATTCCGAGATCCCTCATTATATACATCATGGCTAAACCCTCAGGATGCTTTTAATGCGTGGAAAACACCAAGAGCATTTAACAAGTATGAAAAGTCTGCTTCTTTGGTCAGCAATAGCCAAAAAAAAAACCTCTTGACAATGTTGCAGGAAAAGCTTGGAATATGTTTGCTTCCAAGTAAGTGAAAAAGATTATGCTGATACTTCACGAATAACTGCCACTATCTTCAGTAGTAGCAAAATCACTGTAAATACAGCTCGCTTCTACAGCAAAGTAATGGTGCATAAATAAGCATAAAGACTGTTCCCACACTTTAGTGGAAATATTTTTATGCTTGAAACATGGTGGCAGCATGAGGAACACAGAACAGTGCTTATGTTCCGTGGATAAGTGAGACCACATATTCCGGTGCTGTCAGTTTGACTATTTTCTCAGCACTAAAACTCCCCAAATTTAGTGCATTCCAATGTGACCATTCTAAAAGTAACACATAGAAACTCTTTTACTGATCATATAGTTTCTAAATTGGGTACAGACGTGCTGCACAGTCCAGGAAAAAACTTCCTGGCTCAGTTTGGAAGCATTTAGGGGATTTGTGTAGTTACTAAGGCTCCCGTGCTATTAGTTTGATTTTTCATTAGAACTAAGAAATCTAGAAAAGAATTACCTCTTTACTTTGATCATCATGAAGCCATGGTTACTGCCTGTCACAGCAGATGCCTACTAAACATAAGATTCTAGCACAAGAATTCTGCAATTAAAAGCCAAAAGAGGAAAACTGCTGCCACTAGCTGTGCTCCTACTTTTACCACCTGTTACAGAAACCCCAGTGATGAGAAGCAAGCTATCCTGCACAGGTTTAGGCTTTGCATCTCAAATCTATAACTTTTCTCATTTAATAATCACGTCTCCCTCCATTTCCCAGTTAGCCCAATTTTGTTACCTGCAATTTTATTTCCTTAAGCAATGCAGAAAGTTATAAAACCTATTAGTAACAAGTCCTGACTTCTCAATAAGTATGAATTACAAAATTAGTTCAAGAGAGCACAGTAGAAATTAATCAACATGGTTATTGGGTGGAAACCGATCTTGATTTGTTTTACAATAACTATACAATCCGATTTCATGTGTCAGATTCTTCACTGATTTCTACTGTCTTACCCATTTTCCTCCTGTGACTTCATCACGCAGAGCCTATATTCACCAGTACACTAAATTCGGAATTGAAGAGGAAGATTTCCTGGACAGCTTCACAGCTCTGGAACAAGTTATCTCCAGTTACACCATCCTTTGAATTTTTTTTTTTTTTTAAATGGTCTGAAATAGAGCTTTTCTGAAGGAATCCAGCGCTGGAATACCTTCCATCAGCTTCCTGAAGTATATAAATTACTAGACTGTAGCTATTTTTCAGTCTTGTAAGCAATGTGTGTGTGTGTGTGTGTTAGAATAGCAAGTCCTGAATCTGAACTGAATGTATTTATATGGGCAGGTATTATTCATATTTAATATATCTAATAAATAGCTATTTTTCAATACATTTGCTATGTACTGTAGCTAAGTCTTTGAATATCATTTTTGGCACTTGGATATTTTTCATAAAGAACGCCTATACAGAATGATTTTTTTCCAGGCTAAACTCTCAGCACCTAAACTATCATGAACTAATGTGTGATAAAAATTAAATGTGTGCTT